GGCAGGGGGAACTGCCCTTCCACGGAGGTGGAAGGGACAGTAGCCAACCCGGGAAGAACCAGCAGCAAACCCGGGGAGGGCCGAGCAGACGAAAGAACAGCGCAGGGTCCTGTGTCGTTCCTCCACGAAGAGGGGGAGCGACAGGAGACCTGGAAGGAGACCTGGAAGAAGCTCCTGGCTTCATATTGGCCCAGCTCTGGCCATTGTGGCCATTTGTGGAGTGAACCAGCAGATGGAAGACTTCTCTCTCTCTTTCTGTAACTCTGCCTTTCAAATAAATAATTACATCTTCAAAACAGTTAATCACCTTTGACGTATAGGAAGGTCATGGTGTCCTGTGGTCCTGGCTTCCTAACACAGGCTGCTCTTGGAACTGGCCGCATTCCTTGGGACATTTCTCTCCCAGGGCAGGAATGCAAGTCACAGTGGTGGCTTTACCTGCACCCTGCCCTCAGATGCACGGCGCCCAGAGAGCCGAGGGGCAGAGCTGGGTTTATGGGGTGAAGGTCCCAGCAGTGCAAGCATAGGCGGTTGGCTCCAGGTGGCGTTCGGAGGGGCCGGCCTGAAGCAGAAAGAACGGGCTTCTGGAATGGGCGCGTCAGGTGCAGGGCAGCACAGCGCAGGCGGCTCAGGGTGCAGCAGGGAGTCCGCGAGTCAGCAGTGAGTCGGTCACCACGCGGCGCGGGGAGGTGCGCAAGTTGCTCCACCCCCAAGCCCTTTGCACAAAGGCAGGAGCGCAGCCCAGGGAGGAGGTTCACGGCCGCGGGACCTCCATGTCGCTGGTGGCCCAGACGGCCCCGTCCCTGCAGCTCCGGGCACCCAGACGGCCCGGTCCCTCCAGCTCCGGGCACCCAGACGGCCCGGTCCCTGCAGCTCCGGGCACCCAGATTCCCAGGTCCCTGCAGCTCCGGGCACCCAGACGGCCCAGTCCCTGCAGCTCCGGGCACCCAGACGGCCCGGTCCCTGCAGCTCCGGGCACCCAGACGGCCCGGTCCCTGCAGCTCCGGGCATCCAGACGGCCCGGTCCCTGCAGCTCCGGGCACCCAGACGGCCCGGTCCCTCCAGCTCCGGGCACCCAGACGGCCCGGTCCCTGCAGCTCCGGGCACCCAGACGGCCCGGTCCCTGCAGCTCCAGGCACCTAGATGGCCCGGTCCCTCCAGCTCCGGGCATCCAAATGGCCCGGTCCCTCCAGCTCTGGGCACCCAGACAGTCTGGTCCCTCCAGCTCCGGGCATCCAGACGGCCCGGTCCCTGCAGCTCCGGGCAGTCCTCCACAGATGTCCACAGAGGTCGCCACCTGCAGCCAGGGCCCTCATCCCTGAAGACCTGGCCCACCCTGCTCCTGGGAAGCACCCATGGCCATACCCAGCTTGGCTCCCTGTCCTCACCTTCTCCCGGCGTGCCTCTCTGCCGTGGGCCACTCTCCTAGCTTCCCGTCCATCCCGGTTCCATGGGACTTTCGGTGCCCTGTGCCCAGTTTGAGAAGTTCCTGGAAAGGCCATGTCAGACGGTCAGTACTCTGGTCCTAGGCCTTTAGTCACCTGAACATAAGTGCAGGCTTCCACACGGAGAATGATAAACCGGCGTGGATTTAAGAGTGTTGGGGGAATTATAAAATGTCTGGGGTTAAAATTTCAGCACCGTTTGTGCACCGTGAATGTGAAGTCTTTAGTAACTTAACACTGTGCCGTTATGACTCAGGTCTGAAAATTAGGAGTCCTGGTTGAAGAAATGGGAGTAACGCGCGGGAACGTGTCCCTTCCCTTACCCACGAGGGGCGGGCTGTGGCCGCCCCGGAGCGCGAGGCCAGAGGAGTGGGGCGCTCATGAAAAAGCGGCGCACCCTGCGGAGGAGAAAGTGCTGTACTTTCCCTTTGGGCTGGACCGCGACGGCGCTTTCACCGGTTCCACGGCAGCCCGAGAAACGAGACCATGTGATCGCTTATTGAGTGACTTTTTTTTTTTTTTACATAAACCAGTCTAGTCGGTCTGAACTGGCAAATTAATTTTGTCTATAGAATCACTTACTGAAGCATATAAAATTAGACTTTGTAAGTACAGAGAGGAGAATTGGCATTGTGTTTAACAGATTCCCTGGGACTTAAGTAATGGATTTAGACTTTAATACAGCTAAAGCCTCGAGACTTTTTATAGAGAGCTGATCTTAAGGAAGGCATTAATTCATCACTTAAAAAGTCACTGCTTGTACATTTTTGTTGCTTCAGGGAGTGAATTATGTACCTTGACCATGATAATAGCCCAGCACGTGTCACTGGGCCTGGAGGAAAAAAAAAATTAACTTTTGTTTTCTTTAAGCTACACAATTTTAACAGCTAGATTGACGGAGAATTCATGCGTTTAACACTTACAGTGATTTAAGGGATTATAGTGCTTCTCTGGGCTCATTCAGCGTTCAAATATTTTCACTGTGCCATTTGCGTAAAAGCCTGTGATGCCAAACTCTTGCTGAGCCGAGCGACAAATGGGCTGGTTTCCTTTTCTTGCAGGGGTGAGCTCAGGGGAGCAGGGAGCGGCCCCCGAAGTCGTCAGCGCCTCCCTTTGGAGCAGAGACCGCTGGATCCCGGCAGAGAGCATCCGCACGCAGGTCAGGGTTGTTTGCTTGCTTGTCTGTCTCCACCGCGTTGAGGCTGCTGACTGTTGAAAATCGCATTACCGGTGGTGCACTTCTCGGATCGGGTTCTGTCCTAACCCACTGCAGTGCTACCTTTATCTTGGAGAATGAGCACTCTTTCTTGATGTGAGCCGACTTGAAGGTGACTGTTCTGAGGCTTGGGCTGGCACTCTGTGTGTCTATTGAAAATTAATTTTCACTCGGGCCGGCGCCGCGGCTCACTAGGCTAATCCTCTGCCTTGCGGCGCCAGCACACCAGGTTCTAGTCCCGGTTGGGGCGCTGGATTCTGTCCCGGTTGCCCCTCTTCCAGGCCAGCTCTCTGCTGTGGCCCGGGAGTGCAGTGGAGGACGGCCCAAGTGCTTGGGCCCTGCACCCCATGGGAGACCAGGAGAAGTACCTGGCTCCTGCCATCGGATCAGCGCGGTGCGCCGGCCGCGGCGGCCATTGGAGAGTGAACCAACGGCAAAAGGAAGACCTTTCTCTCTATCTCTCTCTCTCACTGTCCACTCTGCCTGTCAAAAAATAAAAAAATAAAAAAATAAAAGAAAATTAACTTTCACACAAATACCAGGGATTACACTTCCAGATACACGAGTTCTTCCAGACACACCAACACTTCCACGTTCCGTTTTCCTGAGTGATGGGTGTTTGCCTATGTTTATGTCTGTGTAAGCAACATTTTGATTTTTTGGATTGCCTATTGGTAGAAACATTTATGCAACTTAAAAGAAATATTTGTAATGCATTTTAATACAGTCTAAACTTTGTTTGACACATTTGATCTGAGCCTGCTATGATATAAAAGCATAATATAAAATACATGAAATTCTGGTAGTAAATTTAATATTTTGGTGAGTTTTATCTGCCAAAATTGACAGGACTTCTTAAATTTCAGAACTTGTAGGAACAGTTGGAAAGTGATAAAATCTATAGAAACATGAGCTCTTTGGAGAGATCAGATGATGGATTTGTCCCTGTGCTATGTAGAACTATTTTTAGATTTTTTTTTGTAATATAAAACAGGTTTTTTTAAAGATCAGTTGAGATTATGAAAATCCTTTGTAGCTTTCTGGGGGGTGGCAGTGGGCCGCTTTTATGTGAGCAGTGATGCGCTGATTTACATCATTAATTTATTTTCTGGAGAGTTGGCGTTTGGAACTGAGCCCTCGAAAGGTCGGTGGTTTCATGAAAGGAACCAAATGTCAGAGCTTCGCTTTTTAAGACGTTTCGGCCTCACAAATCCTGCTGTAAATTGAATATATAACGTACAAGTCAAGCATTGTCCTATTTGAGAAAAAACTTGAGATATTAAAGAAAATTTCGGCCGGCGCCATGGCTCACTAGGCTAATCCTCCGCCTGCGGCACCAGCACGCAGGGTTCTAGTCCCAGTCGGGGCGCCGGATTCTGTCCCGGTTGCCCCTCTTCCAGGCCAGCTCTCTGCTGTGGCCCCAGAGTGCAGTGGAGGATGGCCCAAGTGCTTGGGCCCTGCACCCCATGGGAGACCAGGAGAAGCACCTGGCTCCTGCCTTCGGATCAGCGCAGCGCCGGCCGCAGCGGCCATTGGAGGGTGAACCAACAGCAAAAAGGAAGACCTTTCTCTCTCTCTCTCTCTCTCTCTCTCTCTCTCTCACTGTCCACTCTGCCTGTCAAAAAAAAAAAAAAAGAAAGAAAGAAAAACTTTATGCCAGAAAACTTCATAATGTCACTTTCTAGGATCTATACAGAACAAGAGGAGTGAGCCGTTTTACAATGAAAATGACTACTTAAAACATGATAAGTACTAATGATGTGAAACTTTGGGGCAGTTCGGAGCTGGGAGCCATTGAGGGACTTTCCCTGAGGGCAGAGCTGCCCAATGTGGTAAATGCAAGGAAGAAGGCCCAGCTAAATGTGGGTTTCAGATAAATGATGATTTAGTGTAAGTGTGTCCCCACATGCAATACTGAAGTCCCATGTTGACATATTCACACCTAAATTGTAGTTTATCAAATGCAACCTTCGTGTGCTAGCGCTGAGCTTGCAACCCTGGCTGGGGGAGACTCGGAGCAACGCGCGGCCGAGGGCTATGGGCTTGCTCGGGGTGCGGAGCAGGCCGGGCACGTGCTGGTCTCTGCCCTCCAGCTGCCACCCCCCATCCTGCAGGTGCCACCAGGAATGCTGGAGTGGACGGGACACCCCCACTGGACAGGCTCCCCGTGGTGGCTGTGGGCCACGGGCACTGTTTTGGTGGAAAACAACCCCTGTTCTCTGGTACATGTCCCGGCTCCTCTGGGAGACTCCCTCCAGGGTGAGAACCGTGTGGGTGGTGCCTGCTGTGCTAACCTGACTGCAGTCCCCGGCGTTTAGGGGAACGTGGCCCAGGTGAGTTGGGAACAGTGCCGCCGTGGGGCCCGGCCCAGGGCAGAGCCCGTGGCTTCCGCATCGGGACTGTGTAATTACAGCACATCCTCGTGTTTGTTGGGTCACTGCCAAGGAAGGGTGCACGAGGAGGTTTGCTGGGATTCTCTGTGGAGCAGATGTGTGCTCCAGCCGATGGTGTACATATGTGTGTCTCCCTGTCAGTAACAGATAAGGTTTTAGTCTGAAACCGGATCTGCACCATGTGTCCTCAGGTAGACAGAGCACGGTCACATTAATGAATACATTTGCACACAGCGGTGCCTGTTACAGCTCAGACTGCGGGCTTTCACACGGCTGCCTTACCCCCTGCTGCTTCGTAGCCAGCTTCTAACTGGGCACCTGTGACCGCCAGGTGCCAGGCGTCCGGCAGTGGAGGAGGGCCACGGGGCTTCCTGCCCCCTGCGATGTACATCCCAGTGAGGAAGACGGAAGTGCAGTAAATCCAGACGTGCTCCGTGTTTGCCAGCCCGAGTCCCCGGGGACGCACGCGGGGGTTGGATGGGTTAACGGAAATGCCCTCCACAGAGGGGGACAGGGTGACAGCCTTTAACCTTTTTCAGTTTTAATCGTTTTAAGTACTGAAGAGCAGGCCTACGAGTGCAAGGAGCAAGGAGGAGCGGGTGTGGCTAGGGCATGGGAGATGGGACGGACACAGACGGACAGGTGGACAGATATGCATGGCTCGGGAGCAGTAGGTTCCAGATTTCCCACAGGGGTCCTCCTGCTCCCACAGAGAGAACATTGATCCACAGAACACGGACGTCAGCGTCCAGAATGCGGCCGAGGGTGGCTCCTCCTCTCCTGGCCAAACCGTCGGGCTCAGTTTTCACAGTCGTCCCTCCCCAGAGGGGACACGCACAGCCTTCCTGAGAGGGGCTCCCTTGTTCCTTAGGATGTTCTCCATGCCGCTTCTGTCTGCATCGGGAATGCCGCTGGAACCCAGGGCCGCGGCTGGAACTGCAGGGCGGGAGCCTCTGTTTGCCCTCTGGGCAGTTTGCCGGAGTTGGCCTCAGATCTGGTGCTCATGGTTGTGCCCGAGTTTCAGTGGTGAATCTCTGTCCACAGCCTGGAGGCCGCCTCCTCCCAGCGAGGCGAGAAAGGTGTGGCCACTGTCACTCAACTCCCCACGGGCCACAGGTGTGGGCTGCACCCGTCCCCACTCACCCCTGCCATCACCCACTCTGAGGAATCAGAGGAGGCCACGCGTGCAGTCTGCAGGCTGAACCCGTCGCCTCCCCAGAAGCATTTAGGGCTTAAAGAGCAGGACGGTTCCCCGGGGTTCCCCACTGCTTCCCAAACGTTCACGCCACGCCTATGATGAGCCAGACTTGGTGCTTGCTCCTGGAGCCAATCTCTGCCCAAGCATGGTCACGAAAGGTCTCTCTGGGGAGGTGACATCTGCCCTGGATGACATGGCAGGTGAGCCAACCTTGCAGAGACGTGGGGACGAGCATCCAGGACGAGGGACAGAGAGCCCAAGGCTGGAACAGAGGAGGGAGAGGGGAGTGCATGCAGAGGTCAGCAGGGTCCTGATGGGGTAGGACAGGAAGGGGTGGGTACCCTGGGGCTCTGCGCCTGGGGGAGTGAGAGTTGGCCCTGCAGAGAGATTTGGGGCGGAAACAAAGAGGGTGGGAAGGGGGCTGGAGCAACTGCCTGGGAGAGGCGGGCAGCTCAGACCCTGCTTGTGGGTGGTGGAGGGAGGTGGGCCAACAGTGAAGGGAGACTCAGTGGGGCTGTTCCTGCCGGTGGGTGAGACCCCAAGGGATGAGCCTGGCTGCATCGGTGGGGGGGGCTGCTGCCCACTACTTTTGGTTCTCAGGGCGTCGGTGGCTCCCGGCATGCACGCTGCTCCCCATTCTGGCCACATATCAGCGTTTCCTGGATTCCTGTCACAGTGTCTGGTGTCCAGTGCCCAGGGTTAGGGACGATTTCATTGGTTTGGGGAAGGCAGAGCCATCTTCCCTTCTAAAGATGCCGCCAGGTGATTTTAAAGAACACACACAGTTGAGAAAAATGCATAGAAACATGGGCGTGTTTCTCTGTCTCACCGGGTTTGAGGCTTCTCCGAATGGGATCTTCAGCAGTCGAGAACCAAGCCATCACTGCCACCCTCGCGCTGCAAGAGTGGAGGTCCAGGAGGAGGTGGGCCTGGGGCAGGCGGGGACCTGGCAGCCTCTTGTCCTTGTCAAGCACAAGCTGTCTGCCTCCTGTCCCTCCTGGGCACCGTGGAACGCGATGGAGCAGCATCCGCACGCACGCCTCGGAGACAGACGCTTCCCCTCAGCAAGGGGGTGTGAACAGTTGCACGGCCTTTGGGGCCCAATCTCCAGTTTCTTGTCTTGCAAAGCATCCGGCCAGAGCCAGGGCAGACGGGTCACCCTGTGACTGACAGCGAGATGGCCTCGGTGGGGCTTGGCCTTGGATTTCCCGCCTTCCCACGGGAGGATGAGATCATGGATACAGGAGGTGAAATGGAGAGTAAAAGGTGAACCGATGAGGACATGAAAGCCAAGCTCGTAGTGCAGACCGTGGGTCTCAGACCCGCAACAGCGGCGGAGGGCAAGGGCAGCG